GATTTAAAATATCCCTGACTGGTAGTGGACAAGTTACATGCAGCTTTAATAATCCTCGTGTAGTCGATAGGATGTAAATCTAATTAACGAAGTGAAACAAGCGATAAAAGGCTCGAGATAGTATATACTTGGAGAGGTATATTGGTTTACATGGGTACATCTGAGGGGAAAACTGCTAAAACAGTAGTTCAAATGTTGAAAGAGACGAGGTTATCAAAGTGGTTTGTTGTGGGATGAAGAATACTCGTGTGTGTACCAGAGGTAAGTGATCTGTGTGTGAGGGGAAAGAAGAGGGATGTTTGATGTAAACAAAGGGGAAAAAAGAGGTAGTGAACAAGATGGAAAGTTAGTATACGTATTTTAAAACAAAAATTCCAAGGTGAAAATTGCATATGACTAAATCGTATACGGGACAGAAGATTTTAAAATAATTTTGAAGAACTGTATAAAAAATTAATGGATGAGTAAGTCATTCACGGCAAATAAAAAATAGTTTTGGGAAGAAATCAAGTTGAGGCAATGGACTGGTCTTCGTAATATTGGCCACTGTTTTATTTATGTTAATATAAATTTGGAAGATGCCTCGAGATTAGCATAGATCATGCAAAGGGTATTTGTATAAACAAATCGGAATTAAAGTGTTTAAGTGGTATTAGGACAGAAAAGATTACGAAGAAAGAAGCTGGCTTTATGATACTAAAGAAATGAGTTGATTGAGTGTCTGTACCGAGGCATACTAGTGAGCACTACCTAGGTAATGGAAGGCAGCTGTCTATTGCATTTTACAGTTGGAAAATGCATATAGTGGGTGGATAGGCAATTAAATAGAATATTTAAAAAGTTGGAAAATGCAATTAAGCACGTGTCAAAGGAGAGAGAAATTCAGTCCTGAGTTTGTTAGAGGAAATTGAACTTTTAGTAAAAATGGAACTTTCTCGTATATACTTTATGTCGCCATGGGAATGATAGTCATGGGAAAAAAATGCGATTTTAATAGAAAATGAATCCGGTTTGTAATGGAAGTTGCTGTTTGTCGACGAGACAGTGTTACTGGCAGATTCTGAAGAGTAGTTGCAGAGGTTGGTGGAGTTTAGAAGTGTGTGTAAAAGTGTAAGTTTATATATATAAAAAATGCAGGAAGAAGTAGTAGTATAGTAGCAGTAGTAGCAGTAGTAGTAGTAGTAGTAGTAGTAGTAGTAGTAGTAGTAGTAGTAGTAGAAATAGTAGAAGTAGTAGAAATAGTAGAAGTAGTAGAAATAGTAGAAGTAGTAGAAATAGTAGAAGTAGTAGAAGTAGCAGAGGTAGTAAGCAGTAGTCTACGATATGCAAGATCAGACTGGATGGAAGGAAGCATTAAGTGAATGCATTTGGAAGCTTGTAACTGTCAGCAAACTGAGCCGTGAAAGATGAGGTGAATCACAGGAAAGACGAGGCAAGAAGTAGCAGGCGTACTGACGCATCTGTGGAAAGAAGTTTGTCAGTTGAAGCAAAAAGAGGGGAATGCTTCTGATAATTAAAAAGCTTTGACATGAAGCAGGATCTTTGAATATTACACAAAAGAGAATTTGAAAAAAAAAATGGAAATGTCGTGTCTGAGGTGAATATTTTGCACGAGTCTAAGACCCATGTCAGGAGTCACTCTCCTGTTTCCTGACGAACAAAACACTCCCTACTGAGCACGGGAACTATTTACTTACCTCGTGAAAGCTGCTTTGGAAGAGGATCCGAGAAGCTGTAAGATATATATGAAGTTAGTGATGCGGTGGAGGGACGGTCTACTAAGATTCTGTTACTGCTATATGGAGATAGTGATGCGCTGGAGGGTCTACTAATATTCTCCTGTTACTATTACTGTTAATAATAAGAAAAACAATGCTAACAAAACTCAAAGTAATAATGACACTAATGAACAAGATAAATAACAGCAGAAGAAAATACCAACACTGTTAACATCACGAAACATTAGCGAATTTTACCTTGCAAAAAGTGCGCAGAATAATGCCGTAAGCAATATTATCACCATCACCAGCCTCATCTGTCTTAACACTTGTGGCTTCTTTCCTGTGATAGGTACAGAAGGATTATCATAAACAAGTCTTAATGCACGACTCTCACTAAATAAACAGAAGAATGGACTGGTATTCGAACCGTGGGCATGCTACCGGATAGGACCACGGTTCGAGTCCTCGTCCATACCTTATATAACCCTAATTTTTAAAGGGGTGGATCGGTGAGCAGCTGAAGGCCTCGGTCAGATCAAAGGCTCCAACGGCGGGTCATCATATGACTAAGACCAGCGACAGGAAACACTTGTCCTATTTCCTGACGAATCTTAAACTAAACTCTGTTTAGCTAAGAATTATTATTATTATTTTTATTAACGTGACGCTCTGAAGCCATTCGAGTCAGTGTAAGATTTTGAGGAGGCTCGATCCTCAGTTTGCCTAGCGCGAGGCAGTTTATTAAATGTAAATCCTCAGTACACATACTCAGGGATACATACCTCAAGATGAGTATCCCTGATAACAGGGCAGTAAGGGTGAGTAGACTTCCGTATAGGTCCTACCTCGCCCAGGATTCAACTTAGGTGCTCTCGGCTGTGAGCCGATTATTCTACCATCTATAACTACATTTATATTGATCTATAATTATCGTAATGAAATAAGATAAGAAATGTGCATATACAGCAAACTACAATGTCTTGAAGCTTTCAACGGATATCTCGTCCTGATCTACAAGTTTGTAGACCGGATAACTTGACCCTGGTATACTGTTCCTCAGGTTGATGGACCACCTAACTTGACCTTATATAAGATCTCAAACTTTCATGTTGGGGTTAAATGAAAACTGGGTTAACAGAAAGGACTACTTCCACTAAATTACTTAGCTAGTAACAATGAGGAAAAACAAATTGACTAAAAGGCTAGCCTACTAGGAGTAACAAATGAATTTAATAATAAGCAAGAAAAAACAAATAAAATAGTGCGAGAAAGACACAGAAAACAGTAATGGAAATGTCATAGAAAATAATAAGTTATTAAAAAGAATAATAACCAAACAAAAGCAGCAAACAATAGCAATGACATTATCTCAAATTTCGGTAAAAAAAAGGTAAACAGACCCAAGAAATCAGTAGCGATAGACCAGACCGCAGTAAACCAGTTAAAGAGACGTAATTAAGTGGAGAGTCTCAATTCCTAAGTCTCCTTACCGAGACTTGTTCTGTAAACAGTCTAATTACTACGTGCCACTACCTGAATTAGTTGATATGCCAGTCGAAAGACACCAATTTATGGAAAAGGGTTAAGTTTAAGGTGTTATTTTGATTAAAGATCCTATAATCAATTTGTTCGTATGGGAAATTATCAGCCTCCAAAGTCTCTACCACTATTTCTGCCTCTAAAATCTCAACCAATAATTCTGCAACAACCACCACCACTAATACTTCTACAACTGCTACGTCCACTCATTCCCTCGACCCTACCATATTGTCTTCTGGCCTTCTCTACTCCTTCCAGTTGTACTTGACCATGGTCCAGAAAAAACGTCGTCATAAGATTCCTCCCTAAGTGCGGGCTTCTCATGAAGTGCAAACTCACTCTAATGTTGAACACTGAAGCTGTATCAAGTCATTTATACAACAGAAGTGTACTCGTACACTGATTTTTCTCTCCATCTACGCTACAACAGACAGGAAGGTGTCATACGATTTGGCTTATCTCAGATTCCAATAACACTTCCTTGATACATTCTGTAAATGCTTCCTAATCTTCCTGATAAATCTAACAAATGCAAAGTATCTGTGCATGCAAATAATTTCTGCCAATTATCAACTCTTTCTATATTCAGTATTACATAATTACATTTCAAAAGCAATGCATGAATTACACGCATTTCGGCGAAATAGGCCTAGGAATAACACAAGATTTCGTCTCGTTTTAGATGTAAAAATTACAACTTATTCGAGGTCAAGGATATTTCTCTGTACATGTAAATAAAAAATCATGATTATAATCATAACCACGATTATTAATATACATGTAAGCCAGCGAAAGTCCTCGGCCAGATGACCAGAAGCTCCAGCTGTGGGTCATGTGATTTAGATCGGCGTCAGGAAACACTTGCCTTGTTTCCTGACAAACATTATACCTACCTATAAGAAAGTTTAAAAAAAATCACGGCTGTCTCAGCACAAGATACTGCACAGTACTGGAGAAAAGATGATGTGAAATACCGGCCACTGTGAGACAAGATTCACGGGAGGTGCTAAAATATCTTAAGAAAACTTTGCGCCGCGAATAGCTGCTGTCTGGTGAAACTTTTCCTTAGGCCTAAAGAATAAATTCATTACTAGACGTTACTTTAGTAAAGTATCCTAACACTGCAGTTGTGTTTAACTTTCACAGCAACGTTCTGGCAACAGTAATGAAAGTCAAGCTTAATGTTACGAAGCTCCAAACAGAATGATGGGTCGTCACAGTAAGAGTGCCTTAGCGTGCGTCTCGAGACAGGTAAGTTATCGTTATTCAGGTGGTCATTTATATTACAGGTTCTATAACACAGCAGTAAACATTACACGACGCACTAAGGATTACGTAGGTAATCTACCGCCCAGTGATTTCTTTTCCCCAAATGAAGGTCATCATTACGAAATCACATAAATTACTTTGAGCTGAAATATTTAATTAAACCAGTAAATAATAAGCAGTAAACTGAATATAAAAAATTCATTATGCGGCAAATGATTTGTAGAGACAAGTGTTACGAACGCAGGTGTAGTCTAGTGGCCTGCACACCTGGCTGCAGTACGATAACCACGTAGGAACGAGAAAAAAATCCAGCTGAGTAAATAATTATATTTCTTTCACTACATAGTAATCAGGTATGTACAATATATACAGCGGATATGTACAGGAAGGCAAATGCAAGCAAGAGAAACGGTGACAACCGTCGTGACCAGACTGGGAGGTAGTAAGTCTGCCCAGCTTTGTTCACGAGTGTACCACATCGCTTCACAACTTTGGCGAGCTTCCTTGTCACAAGTAGGGGGCCCCTACTTGTTATTGTACCCTTAGTAACTAATTCGCTGGTTGGGAGGGCATGCTAATATAAGTGTGTGACACACCGAATAAAAAAGTAACGTACTCTTAGCATGCCACACAGGCTGAGAAGGAATAATGAATTATCTCATTAATTATTCAACAAAACGATTAGTTTCCCATTACTAAACTTTACAAGTATCTTTATTTCAAGAATTCATCAACTGGATCTCAGTGTTGGCTCATCTTTTTTATTTAGCTCTATACTTAGATAATTATTTATTTCCGAACCACAAGCAATACTGACTCGGAGACTGTGATTGTTACTACAGCTGCGTCACTTGACTATCTTTATTGTCGAGTAATAAATGTTTCTCGGCAATATAGATACGCAGGTGTTGCTCGCGTGACTTATTAATCACAAAGATGATACTCCATTGTTAGGGAAGCGCTAATCCTGCTGAGGAATAGAAGGCAATTAGGTTTGATTGATCAGTGGAAGGGGAAGGACAGCTTCCATTCTTTGAATCGAGAGCCCTTCACCGGCAGTAACAGTGGAGCATATTTATAGTCATGTATGTTTGGCAGGACGAATCCTGGCCCGGGACTTTTTCATGTGGTGACCCGACAGCGGGTCCCGAAGGAGAGTCCGTGTGTGTGTGTGTGTGTGTGTGTGTGTGTGTGTGTGTATGTGTGTGAGTGTGTGTACGCGTGACGCACAGTTACAGCCCTCAGACAGGAGCAGGGAAGAGTACAGCGTAGGGAGTTGGTGTTGGAACTTACCACACTCTGCTCAGATGAGCTATAAAGTTCAGCATAATTGAGCTTTATTCAACTCTGCGAGAGTCTTCCATGCTAAAAGTTCATAAACTATAATATGGTTAAATGGCTTAACATGTGAGCCTAGTGTTTTCCTAGCAACTATTTTTTTATCATAGGAGTTTAAACACGGAAGCCACAACACGGCACCTACAACACGGTATCTACAACACGGCACCTACAACACGGCACCTACAACACGGCATCTACAACACGGCACCTACAACACGGCACCTACAGCATGGCATCTACAACACGGCACCTACAACACGGCACCTACAGCATGGCATCTACAACACGGCACCTACAACACGGCACCTACAACACGGCACCTACAGCATGGCACCTACAACACGGCACCTACAACAAGGCACCTACAACACGGCACCTACAACAGGGCACCTACAACAGGGCACCTACAACACGGCACCTACAACACGGCACCTACAACACGGCACCTACAACACGGCACCTACAACACGGCACCTACAACACGGCACCTACAACACGGCACCTACAACACGGCACCTACAACACGGCACCTACAGCATGGCACCTACAACACGGCACCTACAACAAGGCACCTACAACATGGCACCTACAACACGGCACCTACAACAGGGCACCTACAACACGGCACCTACAACAGGGCACCTACAACAGGGCACCTACAACACGGCATCTACAACACGGCACCTACAACACGGCACCTACAACACGGCACCTACAACACGGCACCTACAACACGGCATCTACAACACGGCACCTACAACACGGCACCTACAACATGGCACCTACAACACGGCACCTACAACATGGCACCTACAACACGGCACCTACAACATGCCACCTACAACACGGCACCTACAACAGGGCAGTCAGGTTTCCTCTTCACTACACAGCTAAATTTCTCTCAGTAGTGCGTTCCTAATATCATTAAATAATAACTATAGATGAAGATAATTTTGAAGCTGAGAGGTCAAAGGATCGTTAAACAAGTTTATCGTTAAGCAACTCTATCGTTAAATAAATCCAAGCATTAAAAAAAATATTACATGCGTACACAACCATTATTTCGGATTTTCACATAACGACAGAGGAATAATTTAGCCGAAACTGCCAAAGCAACCAGCCACTGTTACTGTATAAATAATTTATTTAATGCAAAATGACTCTCTCACACTTTACTGAAATATTTTTCAA